ACAGTGATCCTCCTGCCTCTGCCTCTGAAGTGCTGGGATTATTGCCATGTGCCACCATGCCTGGCACCAGGCAATATTTAAATATAAAAATTTCCCATTTAACTACTCAATGAGAAATACTGTGTATTTTTCATTGTGCAACAGACAATTCTTAGAATTATTTTGCTTTGGGTACAATATGTTAGTGCTACCGTAAAGATTTGTATTACAGTCACAGCCATTTCATCTCCTGCACTTTAGCCAAATTATTTGATTTCTCTAAAATAACGTTTTCAAACAAATTTTTAATCTTTACTTAATACATAAGATTATATGGATCAAGTTAATGCATGCAAGTTGCTAAAATAATAACTTTTTAAGAAGACATCTTGTATTCATCAATGTGGTAGATTAACATTACATTGATGGATTAAAAAAAAGGAGTTTCCCCAAATCAGTTTATTTAAAATGTAGTTTTGGGGGTAGTGTAAAGGGAGTATGAGAAAACTTGCTCATTTAAGTTGTATAGTTTCTGTTTTTTGTAAGAAGTTACCCTCAAAATTAAGTATTTTTATACCATAAGGAAATACATTCAGCTCAAATGTGGTGGCACATGCTATAATTCTAGAACTTGAGAGTCTAAAACAAGAGAATTGCTGTGAATTTGAGGCCAGCCTGGGCTACATAGTGAGTTCAAGTCTTGTCTGAGCTATGTAGAAAAATGTCTCAAAAAGAAAGAAAAATAAAATAAATTTAGAAGGATATATACAGAAGATTCCTAATACATGGCAAAAGACTTAAAAGACAGAGGATAGAAAAGTATTATTTAAAGAATATATATTCCTGTGGTAGCATTGAATTGATAGATGGGGGGCTTTACATTAAACTAGAACCCTGTAAAGAACTTGGAAGTAATTGGGGTGTTTAATTTTATTTTTATATTGTTTATTTTCTTGCCACTTCCTTCAGAACTCTGGGATGGTTCCCATTTTGCCCTGGAGTTGTTCCCATGCTGGCAGTGGGTTTGCCTAGCACACGTCATGCAGAACAGACAAGTCTCCTATGATTTTGTTCCCATTGCTTTGCTAGATTTTCAGGAATGTTAATGAGGGTGAAAGAAACAGATTTCACATGTCCATTAAATTCTTACAGATTAAATAAAATTTTTTTCTTACTGCTTTCAGACTTATTTTACTATATTTTATATTCTCAGTTTTCTTTTTGTAGATTTTTTTTCTGGTCCCGTTTTTTTACCTTAATCTTCTTTTTTTACTTTCTCCTTAGTTCAACCAAATCCAATGCTTGACTTCACTGTAACATCTTTTGTCTCAGTATATCTAAAACTGGCAAGGAAACATTTCAACCTCAGTTTGTCCTTTGCTATCTCATTCTTAAGTTTCAAAAATCCATCTGATAAGTGAATCCTTGTTTTCAGTCTCTTTCTACTCCTTTTTCTGGAATGAATTGTATCAAACTTTCTTAAAGCTGTTCAGTTTATACCCTCTTTACCAGTCCATCACGTCTTACCTTGATTTACATTGTTGAAAATCGGAGCATACGTTCTTCCCTGTTTTGAAAGTATAATTCTGTTAAGCTTTACCCAGAAACTAAATAGTATATTAGCTACACATAGTTGACTAAGCCACTTAAAAAACTCCTTTTGCATTCCAGAATCTCAACTCCAGTTTTAGAGAGTTTTTAGTATGGTAGATATTGCTACTGCAATTCAAATGTGTATCATTGAGAACTTACTTACTTTTTTAAAATTGCTCTTTTAGGGCTCAGATAAAGCACTTGCCTGGGCCTTGAGATCTGTCCCCATCAATACAAAAATAAATAAAAATAAGCTTTTTAAAATTTCATTTTCGTATATATGAAAGAATCTACGTTACATTGAGTTACGTCACTGTCGTCTTTAAAGTTCCATAAATAAGTCTAATTTTATAAGATTGTTAAAATTTGTAAGAGAAGTGTAATTGCAAATGAAAACTTTTCATTTTCTGTATTTTTTGAATTATTTTATATAAAAGACAGAAAACACTTCCACTTTTAATACCAACTACAACAAAGACAAGGGTTAAGAAAAATATACATATCTTTCTTTAAAAGATTGATGGCTAACACATCCTGGAAGGTAAAACTAAAACTGTGTGTGTGTGTGTGTGTGTGTGTGTGTGTGTGTGTGTGTGTGTGTTTTGCTAGGGATCAAACCAGGGCCTATGCATGCTAGGTGTAAACCATACCACTAAACTTCATTCCCCGCTCATTTTTCCCGTATTTTTGCATTAAGATAGACCTGATTTTGAACTGAGATATGAGCATCTTTTTTTTTCTTAAATAACATCACCTACTCAACTGGCCTTGAACATATATATTTTTGTTTAGTACCCATTTATGAGAAACTTAATCCATGCTAAATTAAAATTCTGTGAATTCACTTCAGAGAAAATTTTTTGGAAACATTTTACAATGTCTTCCAACTATTTCAGATGGGCTTATCTTAATGGATTTGGTTGAATGGCTTACCAAGAGCCACATTGAAAGAGTACATATCATGTGAAACTTATTTCAGCAATCAGTACACAAGTTCCACACTTCCAAACTAGTCCTTGGAACAATTTACAATTAAGTATTTTAAGTCTTAGTACCTCAAAATAAATTCATTTGTTGAGTTTAAAACTAAAATGTTGATTCCCTTTCTTTTTTATTTGAAATTACAGTAACTGCATGTTCCTGAAGTACAAGCTTCACTTGGATGATATTTGAGAATCACAAGAAAAATACAAGTGATCTCTAATGTTTATTTCCTCTCTAGGATGCTCAACAAACCTGTAATCTTCATTGAGTAAAATAGTTAGGCATTAAAAAGAAAGTCTGAATTTCTAGTAAAAGTGTTGCAGTTACTATTGACTACATTAATCCTAAATTCTTTGAAAAATAAATGATTGTCTTTAGTAAATTGTGCCAATCAAAAATCATAATTAACATGCTGTACTCATACTAACTAAATCCTACTTTAGAACATCTGTCAGAAAGCTACTTACCTTTTTTCTTTTCCAATTAACATGTTAAAAGATTTCTATTAGCAATTTTTGCTTGGACACTGGAGGCTCAGAATTTTCATTTCAAATATGCTAACAGATTTACTTGGTATAAATGATAGTATATTGTTTAATATATCCAGTAGTGCTTTTCTTAAGCAATAAGAATAAAAATTAGTGTCAGTAAAGCTGTATTCTTCACTCTAAAGAAACGAGGAACTTAGTTTAGATACTTCATAGAAATTCTTTAATGACTCTTTCTTTACCTCTTGCCAGTCTAAGAATCTTTTGAGACACATCTACCCACCAGTTAGCAAATTTAAATACCACAGAAATTTTCATCAGTTATTTACTAAAATAAACAAAAGCTTATCAATTTTCCCTATCTTTTCCTTCAATTCTCTTTTTTGCATTAGTTTTAAATGATTCCTTCATCTCAAAAGTATTTGTAGTTTATGTCAAAATCACAACTTCAGAAACTACAATGTTGTGTTTTACCACTCTCTGTAATTGATTTTCAGTTTTAGACTAAAATTATAAAGTACTTTTTGGCTGTTTCAAGCTCCTAAAAAATAATACAGAGAATTTTTAGTAGCAATTTTTAAAAGGAAGTCATTTCATTTAATGTAATCATATATTTTATAATTTATCATTAAATTACCTGATGTTTTTGTTTATCTCTTCTCTGGTTTTGATGTAGGGTTCATAATATAATCTTTCCTAAAGTTTGTTTTGTTGAAGTGTCCTGAATGACTGGCTGGCTTTAAAATGTTGTCTGTCTTCTTGTGTACACTAAAATGCGTTGCGACTGCTGACTGTACAGAATATCAAAGAAAAACCTCATCTATCACTTTGAAAAACAACCTGTAAATGTCTTCTGCTATGACTGACTGCCTTACAGAGTACAGTAAGGCACCTTTAGTCTAGAAGACGTGGCCTACATGTTCGTCGAACAGTATGTAGCAGCAGAACGGTCTTATTTGCATCAAGCTCATGATACATAAAATCACAGATTGTTTGAATTGCCAATATCTTATTTTTCTAATTACTGACCCACTGCCAGTAATATTCTGAATATTTATATAGAAAAGATGGAAATTAGAGCAGTAAATTAAATAAACCGAAGAATATATTAATTTTAAGAAAACCAAACTAAAATTGTCTTTATTTTAAAGAACAAATAAGACATCTAAAAAATTAAAACAAGCTTAAAAGGCAAAATTAAAGAGATGTACTCTAAATTACAAATTACAGTTGTATAATATTGAGACTTCAGGTCTCAGAACTTGCCAGTGTATAACTTCAGGAAATACACAGAGATTTCTAGATATAAGTAAAGATTTTTTTAAATCAGAACCTTGTAATAGATTATTACAACATGTTGTTTAATGTTGATTTTTAAATGTCAGAATAAATGTAATACCAGTGTGGGCCACAGGGTGGGAGTGAAAGGCAAGAACTTGTGTTGAAGCAGTTTAAACACATAATTGCATTATCTTTATAGACGTTTAAATACTTGTTAAATAATAATAAGGACTTGTAACTTGGTTTTCTTTCCCTTTTTACAGCAGCATTCTGTAGAAAAGAATCTATCACGAAAGTCAAAGATAATTGATTTAAATATAAAGACTGTTACTAGTGAATATTAGAAGACCTAGCATAGCTTTTTGCCTGAATTTCTAATCATATGAGGTACTTGGTAGCAATTTTGGTCAATATGAATTTAAGAAATTCCTCATATATCAGTACTAGAAATAGTAATTGAAGAATTTAGCAAAAATGCTTTATATTTTCATACTTCCTATTTTCATTATGCTTTTACCTTGATCTCATTTTTTAAAAAACATTGTACATTATGTAATCTACTGTAGTGACTCAGTTTGTTTTTCATTGAAGAGCAAGTTTTCCATTGTTTCTGTTAACCGAATCTCATTTGAGTTTGGAAGCAACTTAAATATAGTCACTTTTGTATCTTTTAAGGTCAGAAGACAAGACATTTCTTCCCCTAGAAAAGAAACTTCATCAAGGAGTCCTGGCATTCCTTTAACCCAAGAAAGGTAGTTTTATATTCTTGTTTTGTTTTGTTTTGTTTTTCTGACTCTTAGATTACAAATATTAAAATATACAGTATTTTATATTTACATAGTTTTCACTTTTAGGAACTGTAAAAAAGCTGTCTCTTTTACAACTGGAAGAGACCAAACCAAAGCTCCTACATATTAAAATGACCTACATAAGTTATAGGGTTACAATATAGCAGTGCTGGAAGTAAAAGCTGAATTTTGTAAATCTTAGTTATTTTAATAGACCACATATGACAGGCTGTATTATTTTTATTTGTGAATCATAATGTAAACCTTTCAATAGTTAATATTCTGTTTATGTTTTAGAGAACAAACATCAATGCATTAAAGTTTTTAATGTGAGGATAAGACAATAGTATCACTCTGATACATGATTTGTAGATATACAAGTCTACACTACATTTATGTATTAGAACTTTTAGTTCATTACTTACCCTGCGCCTGGCTTTCCAAACATTGAGTTGTTTGGGAGACATTTTCTAGTTACTTAGCCTGGTTAATGATTGGTTATAACCTTATATTTTAAAATACTGATTTTTTGCTGTTGTTTTTTAGGGATAATTTAGAGAAGACTTTCTGGGACCTGAAAGAAGAATTTCATAGAATATGTGTGCTAGCAAAAGCACAGAAGGACCACTTAAGCAAACTTAATATACCAGACGTTGCAACTGGTAAGATTTTATGTAACTTAAGTTATTTTATTTGTTGAAATTCATTTGCTTGAGCATAAAATATTTCTAAATGCTTATAAATAGTATTAAATATCTGCATCATGTCCCTCGACCACTCATATTTGAGTAGTATGTGGTGTTTTAAGTTCTGTAAGATACTACATTATGTAGTTCCTGGCTTTTTCTCTGTTTTCATTTATGTGGTAGTGTGCATATCGATTGAACTGGATAACCTAATTTCTATTCAACTTAATGGGAAGTCCCATTTTGAAAAACTACAAAGTGAGTATAGTATATGTCTCCTAGACTTTTAAATTGCTTTTTGGGGATCATATTAAATATTAAATCCTACGTTACTAAGTAACCTTGAAGTAACACTATCATGTGAATTAACTAAAAGTATAACATCAGGTTTGCTTTTACCTTCTGCCTGAAATTTCGTTGAATGTTACAGGTTTTTTTCTGATCATTTGCCTCAAGAATAAAAATATAGCATGTACATTTCCTGAGTACCAGTTCTGTTGGAGGCACAAAATACAAATTTAGTATAAAATACAACTTAGAAGTGACATGTATTTCACATGTGTCGCAATATGTTCTTTAAAAGCTCTATCCTTCTCTAAAATCTCAGACAGGCTTCCTGGTGTTTGTGACAGTTGTTAGGTATTAATAGCAAAATACCAAGGATTAAGTCTGGCAGTGAGGGACATCCAAAGACAAAAAGAAAGTAAATTGATCATTTCTATTGATAAATTCTCCTTTACCCTTGTGATTTGAGCTAATATGCTGATAATTCCCAAGCGATGTGATGTACAGCTTTCACTCTTGAGGGAGACTGCAGCAGTGATGATTAGCACCCCTTTATTTAAAAATCACTTTTCATTTCTTACAGCTCTTACATCTGAGCTGTGTAAAAATCACTGTAGGGTGTAAATTCACTTTTTGCATCTATCACCTTGCTTTTGGTGAAGTTATACAATGAAGTAAGAAAGAAACAAAATAATTTTTTTAAACAGGCACAATTTGTTCCTTCCCTTTACATTCCTCTACCTTGTCTCAAAAGACTGCTTAATTTCTCCATCTAAATTGTTGTCATTTTCAAGAAAAATAGATCATTTTTACAGAGTAAAGATACTGTGTCTGAAGTAAATATTTTTATTTAAAATATGTTAGCTATAGCCTCGAATTCATAAGCATGCTTTTTGAACATCAACATCTTATCAAAACATTGTAATGGTGATACATCCTTTGTTATACAGAGAACATACCCCATTATCAATGGCTTAATACTTTGACCATGTTTAAATTGCACAGATCTGAATCTGAGTATTTATCTGTCAACTAGAACGCTGGGTGTTTAACTTCAATTTCTTTCCCCCTAAAACTGCTTCTTAACATTATTCTTATGCTTTATATGAACTGTGTCACAAATAATATTACATTGTTCATGAAATATTGTGGATATGCTGTTCTACAGATTTCAGTGAAGTTTTGCTCTATCCAGAGACCAAAATACCAAATATTATGCCCTGATAGTAGCAGATCAAAAGGGAAAAGAAAGAAAAAAATATTTTGGAGAAAGATGCCTATACAGGGTTCCCAAGTATGTATGCTACATTGAATAGAAATATAAAGAAACTGTTTTGTATATTATATGCATAATATGTATAGAAACAATATAACAATTATTGTTCCTATTTTGTAATTAAAATTTGACTTCTGCTTTTAAAGAACCAAATATTAATTTTAAAATGTTGAGTTAGTAAAATTATAATTTCCTTTAATATTTTATTTTTTTCTACTCATCCCTATGTGGCAATAGCCTTGAGAAGGGTTACAGATAGAAGTATGTGTTTTAGCCAGTATGTCTTCTGGAGAAAAGCACTATTTGATCCCAAAGAAAGGTCTCATTTCATTGACTATTAAGACAGAATATAGGATTAGGGATTGCAAACAGCCATCAAATCTTTTTGCTTTGTCATTATTCACTGTAAAGAAACTGAGAAATAGTCTAAATTTGGAAATCTAAAATTGTTTCTCATCTTGTTTTCCTTGCAAAAATAAGTATTTTTGAAATATACAAATATAAAGCTGTTTGCTCACCTAATCTTTTTTCAGTATGGTGTCAGAATGACAAGTATTTTCATGTACTTTATTGGAGTTTTATATTTTTTAATCTTAAATTTTCATTAATTTTGGGAATCTTAGATTTAAATATTCTTAATAGATATTACTATCACCATATGAACATATTAACTCTATTTTAGTGGGGCTGAGGTTGGATGCCAGCTAACTATGCCGAAAGAAAATAACTGCTTTGTTACAGCTGTTTGATTTCTCCATGTTTTCTTTGCAAGGGGGATAGGTCAACTGCTAGGAAAGTAATTCCAAGCATATTTCTGTCAATTTGAGGACTCCTCTCTATATATAGAAACCAACATGTTCAATTTAGCATAATGGTTCTGAGCACAGACTCTAGAGCTAGACTTCCTGGGTTCCAGTGCCAGATCTACCACTCACTAGCTGTGTAGCTTGGATTTAACCTCTCCGTGTCCCAGTTTCTTCACACAGAAATTGAGGATAATAAGTGTCCAACTTGGAGTAATAGCACCTACTTTGGGATTTATTCTGAATATTAAGTGAATTCATGCTAATGTAGCAATTATAACAGTGCATAGGAGTTAATAGTTGTTACCATTAGCAGCAGCACCAGATTCTAAAACATTCACCCTCTTCTTGTGAAGATCATTTGATCAGCTCTCCTCCTTCTCACATGTTACAGATTTTGATTACTGTTTCCTACAATTTCTTGTCATCTTCAAGTCTACTACCAGGAAAAATGACTACTTGAAAGCTAATGGACTCTGGGAACCTCAGAGGTCAAAGAAGTTCAGCTAAACAGTTGAGCTCAAGCTCAATTACTGTACCACTCCCAGTCACAGACAGGGTACCTCATTAAATGTAGCTTATTATCCTAGGCTCTATGAAGAAAAGAATGAAGATTCATTCAGAATTCATTTATTGAAAGCATCCTGTATGCCAGGAACTGGGCAACATACAGGACTAAGTGGTGAACAGAACATAGTTTAGTACATCAAGAAACCTACTTTAATGAGTGGAAGAGAGGTATACTTGAAAGTAAACACAGTCTTCTGGTTACCTAACTGTGCTAGGAGAGCCATCCAGAGGAACTGATGTCTAAATCAAGATGTGAAGGACAAATAAGTATTGGACAAGGAGAAATGGAAAGGGGACTTGTTAGACAGTGCAGGTACAAAGGTTCAGTGACAAGCACATGGGTATTTGGGAAACTATACAAAGTTCATTATAGCTAGAGGATGAAGTAAAACCAGTATGCTGAAAGGTGAGTGTGGAAAGGTGGCTGAGGACCAATTATGAATAGATTATGTGCCTTGTCTGAGGGCCAGAGATTTTAGAGAGCCATAAAAAGCTTTTATTAAGGAAGTAACATGACCAGATTTGTATCAGAAAAACTACTCTGAGAAGGAAGGGTAGGAGGGAAAGTTGCAACGTCGAGAACAGATTGGATATGAGACAACTGTAGAGGCATGGAAGCAGTTCAAAGGCTGTTGTAATAATCCAGTAAGAAGGGGTGGTGTGAACTAAAGGGAGGCAGAAGATACATAATAGGATTAACTAAAGAAGTTAGTTTCATTGTACTACACATGGTACCGAAGATACTTTATGTTGGAAATATGTGCTAACAAAAGAGAGAAGCGTGTCATGAGACACCAAAGATCAGAGGAAACTGTGTGTGTTGGGTGCTTGCTAATATGGATTGACCTGCAACGTGTTCATGGTATCCATTCTATTTCAGCTGCATCCGTGGTAGTCTCCAGTGTGAATATCACTTCAGTAATGACGATCTATTTAATAATTTTAATTTTTTTTACTGCCACTGAATAAAAATATGTTACCAACTTCATTAGCTTCTCAAATTGACACTGTGGAGCATAATTTTAGCTTTTCTAGTATCTTAGGATCATCAACATGGAGCTTGCTTTTTTGTTGTTTATTCCAAAATACAGCTCCCATTGCCTTAACGTTAGCCTGCAATGTTTTCTGAGTTCTTACACCTACATATTTGTTTTTATCGCCTTCCCCTGTGCTTTTAGCTCTGGATTTCATCTGCATTTAATAACTCATATCCTATTTTTTTTTAATTTACCGTTTCAAATAAGCAGTGAGCTAAGGACCCATAAAGCCTGTTAGAATAAATGTAAAATGAGAATAGAAGAAGAAAATTCATGTGCCTGTGGGCCTTTTAGCTCTAATTCCAACTCCTTAGAAGTTATGCTTCCTTCTTAGTTTTTTATTATGTCCTGGAGAACTGAATTTTGCCTAAGTAGTTTCAGGATAAATGTGCTACAGAGGTCCTGGTACTTGCCTGATAAATACCCATCATGTACAGAGGTTTTGTGTTTTGTTTTGTTTTGACTTGTTAGAGATCGAACTGAGGGCCTTGTGCCTGCTAGGCAAGTAAGTGCTCTACCACTGAGCTATGTCCCCAGCCACAGAGGCCTTTTTTTTTTTGGTGCCTGGAATCAAACTCACAACCTCGTGTTTGCCAAGCAGGCACTTACACCACTGAGATAAAACCCTGGCAAAGGCCTTTTATTTTAAAAAAAAAAAATACAAGAATACCATATATTCTATAGTTTTTTCATAAAATTTCGTACTTCCTTTGTCCCCAAGGAAGGATCTCTCTTTTCCTTCTTCCCAACATCCATTACCAACCTCTCATATGAATTAATCAGACAGTGGCTAAATTGATTAGTGGTATACTTAGTTACACATTGATATTAATTCATATAGTAAATAATAAATATATATGTAAAAATTTTTCCCTTTTAACAACTTAGTTATCTAAGGAAGCTCACAGTTATAGCTTCCTTTACAACAAAACCTTTAAATATATATACTACAAGCAAATTTTTTTTTTTTCTACTGGAGATCAAACTCATAACCTCACGCCTCCCAGGCAGGCACTTGTGCCACTGAGCTAAATCCCCAGCCCCACAATTTTTTTTAAGGGTAGAGCATTGTAACTGTGAATAAGATACAGAGATTAAAGCAAAAAGACAAGGAAAAGACAAAGTAGTTAAACTTTGACTAATAAGCTGTGTTCTAGTTCACCTGCTAAAAACTGCTAATGTTCTTGTGTAAGGTAGTAGCAAATGTGAAAATCGCAGTTGTCTTCAGTTTACAAAAACCAACAGAAAAAATAATAGTCATCTGCCCAAAACTGACTGAACAGATTTTAAAGAATGATTTGAATTATGATTATTTCCATTTTGTGTTCCTTTTCCTGCAGAAACACAGTGCTCTGTGCCTATACAGTGTACAGATAAAACAGAAAAACAAGAAGCACTGTTTAAGCCTCAGGCTAAAGATGATATAAATAGAGGTGCATCATGTATTACATCTGTCACACCGAGAGGACTGGGTCGAGATGAGGAAGACACCTCTTTTGAATCACTTTCTAAATTCAACGTCAAGTTTCCACCTATGGACAGTGACTCTACCTTCTTACATAGCACCACAGAAAGACCCAATGTCCTTGGCCCTGCCTCATCTGAGGCTGTGTGCCCGGAAAAATTTAACATGGAGCTCAGAGACAACCGAGGAAACATTGTTAAAACAGAAGAAACTTTATTTGAAATTCAGGGACTTGATCCTATAGCTTCAGCTATGCAAAACCTTAAAACAACTGACAAATCAAAACCCTCAAATCTTATAAACAATTGTATCAGGACGACTCTGGATAGAGCTTTGTGTTTGCCACCTGGAGACCATAATGCATTATATGTAAATACATTCCCACTTCAGGACCCATCTGATGCACCTTTTCCTTCACTGGATTCCCCAGGAAAAGCTATCCGAGGACCACAGCAGGTAACTGTTTTGCATTAGCAAATATTTTGTTTTGCGTGAATACGCATTTTGCCATACAAGTATCTCTTTAGGTTATCAGATATCCTTTTTACATTAATGTTAAAGTTAAGGCTTTCAGTAAAATGTTCAAGTCCTATACTAAAGGACATGGAATTTACAAATCTGAATATGATAAAACTTATAAAATTTATAACAGATTTTTAAATATACATAAACCTTATCTATGTCTAGCATGGCATCACTTTCTTAGTCTCTGTTAAAAGCTTGTTTATTCACTATCAGTATTTAACCAGTATTATTAAATTTCAAAATATGAAATATAGTGTCTTATACAATTAAAAGCATATATATACATATATATGTGTGTGTGCATGTATATATACTTCATTATATACACATGTGTGTATCATACTTATTGTCACATGAACACAATTCCCATAAGTAATTCATCATATATTCCTAGTTCTCAGAATAAGTGAACTTCAGTTATTACTTATATAATAGTTTCAGTTATGTGGTAAGTGGGTCTGTAGGGTTTTAGTTTGGGGACCTAATCTGACACAGAACATGTATCCTCATACATATTTTAAGTAGTCTCGTTAAATGTAGGATTGAAAGCTACTTGTAACCCACCAATTCAGTCCCACTCTCCTTTCCTTTTAGATTCAAGTTTTATCATAGACTGATTCTTCTTGTTTAAAAAAAGTTGTAACTCCTGAAGGCAAATGAAAAATATATAATTATTACAATAAACAGAATTCTGTGCAAACATATATTGATATACGTATATAACTTGCCAACTTTTTTCTCTTTGAGATTATTTTTAAAATTTTTTTTGATTACTGTGCTTTGAGCCTAAGTATTCTTATGGACTTTTTAATCAGCATGCAAAGAAGACAATAGTCAAGCTGTATTATATTTTAATATTGGGAAAAACTAGGCATTGCTGTTAACAAGCCTTAATTATAAACTCACTTAAGTATTACATTGTACCCTACTGCACATCATAATCTCGGTTATAGTTGCTACTAAATGAAACAAATTACACAATTTCATTTATTGCAAGTATAATTCCCGTGGAGCTATGAACTGTATCAGTTCTGATGCTTGTTACTTTTTCCCTATACTTCTTGCTTGTTCTTTTACTAGTTTAGTCTGTGCATTCATGTTTCAGTAGATGGCACCCTGCATTGTACATTTGCTTTCTGTACTCCAGCAAGAGAAACAGCTGGTATGTGATTACAACTTGATGGAAAAGTATTCAGCTTAAAAAATGCGGGAGAATTAGTGTTGAGCTGTCACACGACATGGGGCATAAGGTTAGATAATTGATACTTTGGCAGAAAAAGCAAAGAAATTAGTTTGATTTGAAGCCATGTTACTTTACAATTGAAAGAATTTTTCATTAAATGAGTTTCAAGAAATATTTTACTATTTTATTAGTGTAATAAAGGTCACATAAACACAAAATTCTTGTGTTGGTAGTAACAAGTAAAATTTTGATTATATATTACAAATTACTTTATATTATTTATTATTACTAAGCATCTACTTTACACATTGTTACAGCAAAGACTAAAATGTATCAGCATATTTTTTATTTGATTTTATTTCTTATTTTTGCTGAATCAGCTATTAAGGTATAAGTAAATTTCATGAAGAGATCAAATGTGAATTAATTGTTTCTAATGGAGAAGAACTTTAAAGATAAATTATTAGTGAAAGTTTGGCTTACCAAATTTGGAAGCTATATTACTTCTAAGTTAGTTTCTTTTTAGTCTATATTTAGCAAAAATTTTCTTTAATCTTTTTATAATCATATTTTTATTAATATGTACTTTTTGCTTAAATTCCAGGCAGTAATATTTGAATATAGTTAACCTTCAGTTTTTGTTTATATATTCAAAATTATGGCTTTTCTTTTATGGAAGAAAAGCTTTTCTAAAAAAAATTGGTTTGCCCCAAATTTCGTAACATTTATTATAGATGTTACTATTTTGTGGCTAAATGGCCACTTCTCATGAAAAGAATTGAGTCCATGTTATTATAAGCCCTATAGATTACAAATATATGGTTATATGTTACTGCCTAGATTTTGTATATTTATTCCAGTTGTACATACCTGTCCAGTAAAATGTTTATAAGAAGACAGTAATGTCATGAAACCCAAATGCTTTAAGTAGATATATATATATATATATATATATATATATATATATATTGCTTATGTAAATGGATAACTTGAAAGAATGAAAATTGTGAGGTTCTGTACTAGGCTGTGTTTCATTTAAAAACACAGCAGTAATAGGAACATAAAGGATTATCTTTAAATTTACTTCCTCAAAGTATCAAAAGTCAGCTATGGCAGGGTAACTTACCTATGTCAAGGTGAGGGAGAAAATTTTATAAACAACCTAGTTTATTCCACTCAGAAAATAAATTATTTTCTAGTCAGTGTTACTTATCAAGTACCTTCTAATAAACCAAATACTATATCTTCTTCGAAAAGCTTTTTAAAAAGTATAGTTTTTCTCTCATTTGCTGGTGATTTTAAGGGAGATAATTCTATTAGGATTTTCCATAATTCTTTAGTTGGGCAGCTATTATTAAATTTCACTGTATTCTGCACAAGAAAGAGTACGAAGATCAAACTATAGATTAAATAACAGGAGCAAAGTTAAAAGTCAGAAGTGATCTGAAATGAGCTTTTGTTGAATTAATTTCAGTATATAAATTTTCAAAAACCAGTCCCCTCACATAAAAGTAATCAGTGAATTCTGTTTAATAGTTGAAAATTTTTACTTTAAAAAATCAAAATGCTGATTCATATTTATTTATTACATGTTTTTTTATAAGGAGTAGCGAAATTTAAATTACTTTTGGTTAAGGTACATGCACACACACACAAGACTAGTGTGCCATGTATTAAAGATGGTGCTGTGATTTAAGGTTTCTATTGTAAAACAGATAGAATTTAGTTTACAAGGTTTTGCATGTTGTTCCAAAATGACTACCATTGAGATAACTGAGCACTAAAAATTGCTGGAGCTAAAGCTAGAATACTCTTTAAAATATGTAAAGACAAGACAGAGAAATGTGTGTTTTAGTGATTAGTTTTTTTCTTTCTTCTCCTTTCCCCCCATGAAACCTAGCGCCTGTGCATGCTAGGCAAGCACTCTACATTTGATAAATATTCCTCACACCAGTGATATTTAATCAAAGTTTAGTGTACCGTTTATGCAAAAAAGAATTGAGTCGTATCCTCATTCGAACTCTGGAAAAGTAACTTGGCTTCATATTAAGAAATTTCATATATAAATACACATAACATTCAAATATTTAAATTTTAAATTCAATTCAAGTTGATGCGAAAACAAGTAACAGAAGATGTTGTTTGTTTGTTTCCTGCAGCCGCTTTGGAACCCCTTTCCTAATCAAGACAGTGACTTACTGGCACAAAATGACACAGACTCAGAACTGCATATACCTCGAGTGTGTGAATTCTGTCAAGCAGTTTTCCCACCATCCATTATGTCCAGGGGGGATTTCCTTCGGCATCTTAATTCACACTTTAATGGGGAAACTTAAGGCACATTTAAGGATGTATATCTCAAGTTGTGTGTCATGATTTGGGGTTTGTAATACTATAAATACTTGATTTTAATCTAACTTGAAGATCATTTATAGAAAATAATGTTATTTAAATTTTTTCTAAACTTATTTGTAACTTTTATTACCCTTTAAAAGATCATTTTGTAAAAAACAAATACATTGTATTCTTGTTTACAATATTATAATTCAAAATTAGTGTATGACTTACAGAGTTGTATAATCATGTTGATTCAAATATCTAAGCTTACTGCTTGGATTTCTAATGAAACCTATTGAATTTGATGATGTCAGATGTTTCGCTGTAAAAATTAGTTTATGTTATAGGTAATGTTCTCTATTAAATAAATGTGTAATAGAAAACAGCAGATAACATAAATATCTAAGTACCAAATTGAAGACATTTGTTGTCCAGTGATAATTATTTAAATACTTCTGGATTTTTAATAATATATATGACTTTAATTTTTACTGTGTGTATACATACATGATGGAAATGAATTAAATATTGAGTTCCTTATGTCGTGATCGTTAGTGTTCTTTGTTCCTGAGGTAAAATAAATAAATCACATGGGGGGGGGGCATTTGTAAAATTCATGTTTTCTTTCCATTAACCTAACAGAAGATTGATGACCAGATCTGGTGACATTTATTATAATTAGTAGGTCACTTTGAATTTTAAAATCATGTCTTGAACTAACTAAAGGAGCATTTGCTTTTAATGGGAGCAAATATACAACAGTGTAAGGATTATCCATATTTATTAATTTAGATTAGAACATTGACATTCTTGTTGAGAAATTTGTTATTCATTGTTAGCAGTCTGATTGATGGCCACTGGAAGACATTAGAGAGGGAGGAGACCAAATTCAGGGTGCTGAAAATGTGTGTTAAAAAGAAACTCCCTTTATCTTTTCTTGCATTTCTCTTTTAACCCAATTTTTAGAAGATCTGCGGCATGACTTCCATTTTAAACATTGATAAACATTGATTTGCAGCTCTCAAACAGAAATTGAAGACTTCATGAAGCAAGTGTTATGAACTGGAGGGTTTGGGATGGAGAATTCGCAGAGGCCCCAGTGCGGCAGGGGACAGCCTCAACTTTGTGGAGGAATGAGAGTGGTGCCTCGACTTCTCAGAGTGCCAAGCGCATCACATTGACATCTTCCTCACCAAGGTGACAAAGCGATTATTAGGTATTCACTGTGAAGGTTCTGAGGCATGTACATCTTTTCATTGCCACTGGGGCTGAATGCCTAGACAATTATCCAAGGCTCCTCCCTTCCCCCCATACATCCTTCTCCAGCACGCACACACAAAATTAAAGCTCAAACTTGACAGTGTGCACCAGCCAGAATATACCACAGTACCTGTTTCGTGAAACCGAATTATTCGTCCCTCTCACACACTTGACATCTACTACTCTGCTGACCGTCCAACAAAGCTGGCCCAGAAAGTGGACCGCTGGCCCCTTTACTGCTGCCTGGCCTTTCCCCACCTCCACCACTTGCAAGTGGGAGCTGGGAACTGTATTCTGTATTCTCTTTGGTTACTAGAGATACCCAGAGATCCAACTTCTGAGCGATGGAGACCTTTCTGGCCGCCGCGCTCGGCAGCCTCGGCAGCGGTGCAGAGGCGGCGTTGGCTGCAGCCTGAAAGTTGCAATGGGCACCGCCGGGTCTGACCCTGTCTCCTGCTGAGTCGTGCAGGGGCTGCCTCCTGGCATCTGCTAAGCGTGGCCGGGTAAGAACAGCTCCAGGTAAAGAGCTGCACACGCAAAACGCTGAGTCTGAAAAAACCACCCCCGCCGAGGCGAGGCAGTTGTGAGCGGGATGCCTGAGAAGTGGGAGGTGAATGTCCTCGGGAGGGCCCCCCGCCCGTGCAGCTTTCCCCGGAGGCTGAGGCTGCTGCCAGCGGGGACATCTGCTTTCCTGCACTGCAGCCCGGCTCACCCCGCCCCCTCAGCCCCGGGTTGCGTGGTTATTTTACCAACACAGGGGGAGGAGAGCTCGGGGAGATAGGAGAGGGGTGGATGGAAGCCTAGGAGATTTTCTCCCCACCCGCCCAGTCCCCTCCTTTCCTCTTCACATCTTTTAACCTTCAAGGTAAAGACTTCATAAATATGAAACAGGAAGCGAGCGCGCTGGCACCCGGGCCGCCGGGCTGGCCTGGGCCCCTCGGGGCGGCGGCCGGGGCGCGGCTCGGGCCGGCGGGCGGGCGGGCGGCGGGCGGCGTCAGCCTGTGGCTCCTTCTCCCGGCTGCTGCCTCGACAGCTGCTTGTAGCTACAGTAATTAGACTGTCAGTGCTTGTTAGAGGCGAGGGGGAAACACGCTTCTGACAGCAGATTCCGAGACTCCCCGCTTTAATTTCTAAGAGATCTTTAAAGCATTAATTGAGGTCTCCCCTACTCTTCCCTCCCATCCCCTTCCTCAACTCCTCCCCTCCCAAAAATATCTTTAGGAGAAAATCCCGCGTGGAAGCCGTGTTTCCCGCAGCGCTCACGCACACACTCCGCGGTTTGCATAGACACGGGAGGCGCGCGCGTGTGCGCGGTTAACGCGCGGAGGACTCGTCCAAATAGGCACCGGGATTGCATTTAAAATAATAATAATAAATAAATAAATCAACTAGGAAGGAAGGGGGGAGGGAAGCAGAAGTCGGGAAGAAAAGAGAAAAGCAGCAGGCTGATTACGAGGTGTCAAAACTGCCAGGAGCAAGAAGGTGATAGCAATCAGGGGTGAGAAGAGTGCGGCATTCGTGCGGGGCAACTAATTATCCGTCTCATTTGAGAAGAGCAGCATTTGAGGCAGCAGCGTTCGCCTGCTGAACGGTGACAGATTGGCGCGGAGGAGAGGGGAGGTGTTAAAACAATGGAGCCGGGCGCGCGAGCGCTGCTGCATGCTAATCAGCCCTCCCTCCGCCGCCCGCCGCCGGCTCCCCCTTCCTGCGGCCTCCCTCCTCCGCGCCCTCCGCCCCGCGGCGCTCCCTGCTTTCCAGCGGGCCCGCCGCCGCCGCCCGCGCCTCGCTTTCCCGCGCGTCCTTCCCGCCGCTGGCGAGCCGAGCCCGGACCCCGCCGCCGGCCCGGCCGGGCCCGCAGCCCGCAGCCCGCAGCCCGCAGCCCGCAGGAGAGGCCGCCGCGGGACCGACGCCGGGAGGAGAGGCGCGGGGAGAACTGCGGAGCGGCCCGCCGCCGGGGCCACCGCTCAGCCCGGGGGCGCAGGCCGGGCGGGGGCGAGGCTGCGAGGCCTGCGCGGCGGGGCTTCGGGGCGCCCCGGACCCGGCACCCCACTCCCCAACACCAGAACGACCTGCGCCCTAGTAAGCACGGAGCAGGCCTTCGTGCTCGCTGTGCCCCAAGGCCTGACCTCCCGGCCCACGCTAAGGGGAGCCTCTGCACCCCCTTAGGACTGTCGGGGGAAGAGGAGAGCGCCCCGAGAAGTGAGGCTGAAGGCGAGGGGCTGAGGCCGCTCCGCTGCCCGCCTGGCCGCCTGGCCCAGTGTTCACTGTCCAGGAGCTGGACAGAAAAGGAGCTGCTGGCCGCCCCGACCTGGAATGGGCCTGAGTTCGAGTCTGTGCGCTGAGGCGGGCCATTCCCGCAGAGGCTGGAAACTGAGGCTTACACACAACTTATCCCTGCGTTTTGAGTTTAAAAGCTGGTTGTTGAGCTTAAAATACACTTTTCTTGCTATTATTAGAATATTTTTACTCCTACAGATTTACATAAACTACCCTAAGAGGTTAAAAACCACTGGCTTTATGATTTAAATGGGTTCAGGGAGGCCCAGCTACAGAGAATGGTACGAATTTGGAGTAAATGAGATGATTTCTTCTAAAGTGTCCCAGGCTATTGAGCTAACTAGATGCCTCACCTAACTCCCTCCCTGCAACCATTAATGAAAAATGGAAGTAGCTGAAAGACAATCTATGCAGTACAATTTTTTCTTACTTACCTTTGCATATCTTTACACACATTTATTTTTTTAAAAATCAAAATCACGTGAAAATTTAATAAGGGTCAGAACATAAGGTTCGCGTTTATAGTCTCTCTGCCCCTTTGTTGGTAATATTTCATTAAAAAGTACACAAATACAAAATAAAATGAGTTATGTTGTCATTGGTCCTGGTCATATGAAAACTAGGCAAGTGTACAGAGTAACTTGTCTGTCATTTTTCCTTTTGAACTATTCCCAGGCCTAACAATTGAGAAGCTGAATGAAAAACTATTAGAATGTACTAAATACCAAACTTAAAATTTTTTAAATTGAAAATACTTGAGAGTTACAGAAACGTTAATACTTCTCCATGTCGACTCTTTGAAAAACCAGTAAGCAGGCTTCGGCCCTTAATACACCACAGACTTTTCAGTACTAATATAATAACTGGCATTGGAAAATTCCTGGGTGTCTGAATCTGTTAAAATAGCAGTCTACCTAGTAGCAAGAAAAAAAATTTAGATTTGTTAACTTGAGATGCAGATGCTTCAAACATCAAAATTAAGCAATTTATTAACTATTCATCAGCCGTTTCATTAACCAGTTCCATAGAAGCAACATATTGGAGCAGTGAAACTATGGAATTCAGATAAATTTAGTTCAGTTCCGTATGCATTTCTAATATCTAACAAAATTTGTTACCATCCAAGGACTTGGTATTTATGGGCTTAATGTAATCTGTTCTCATTCTATAGATCTCACGTATTTGCTTGCCTGTTGTAATGGTGTATTTTACAGATAAGTTTTATTTGCACATAAGGACAAAAAGGTGAAGTGAAATTTGGTCCCACTGGAAACCTGTTAGGTTCCCTGAACATATGGCTCACTGGGCTGTTACTTCCTTTTTGAGATCATTTTCCAAGATTTTTTAATATATACATCAATTTGACACCAGTTATAAAGAAAATATATTGGCTTTGAAGATGCCTCCACCTGGGGCATATCTCTTAATAACAAACCATGTAGTCAGGTGTACTGAATTTACAGGATTCTAATCTCAGAAAACAGGGCATAATGGGAAACCAGTCAGAGCTGACAGTTGATTTACAGTCTTTGAAATTAGGTGGCTCTTTGGATCCTTAGAACACCACAATGATATGATTAGTGCAGTTTAGGGGCGACTGCCTAAACTCTTTTCAGAAGGCTGTGCATTTGAATCCACAGTATTACAATGATTTCTCTGGGTAGATACAAATGATGTAAGTCTCATTTGTTGAAAGTGTGTGGTGCCAGCTTAAGACTTAAGGGGAAAATCACAGCATTGAAAAAGATGTAAATGTTCAATTGGTTAAAAAAAAAAAGAGGGGAGTATGCTAAAACGTGTGCCTATTTCCATTATGCTTAATTTACTATTCAAAACAAGTTTTTCCTAATAAGCTCTATTGTTTCTTTCTGTTTTGTAAAATTTAATATGTGTGAGACAAAAACCAGATTCAGAATGTGAATGAAGTCTGTTTAACGAAAGATTGTTGGAGCTTACAGTTCAAGAAGCGCCTCAAATTAAAATCACTATCACCTTATATTACA